GGAGGAGGAGGAGGAGGAGGAGGAGGAGGAGGAGGAGGAGGAGGAGGAGGAGGAGGAGGAGGAGGAGGAGGAGGAGGAGGACGGGAGGGGGAGGAGTGAATGCGTGGCGGCGGGCCCCGGGGGGAAACGACAAGCATGCAGAGGAGGAGTACTCTGAGAAGGTTCGCCCCCTCTCACTTCCCCCCCTGGGCTCGCCGCCGAAATTCGCAAAGCGAAAATGCGAACTTTGCTGCTATACCTCTGCCTCGTCGTGCAGAAGACCAGCATCAGTCCTCTTCAGATGCTCTCGACGAGTTTTGCTGGGGCTTTGCTCGCAAGGTTTCCAGAAGTCTCGAACCCGGTGGGTGGAAAAACATCCGCGTGCTCCATAAAACACGAGCTCGAGGCTACCGTGGTGGAAGAGACCGCGTGTGGAGGCCCCCCCCCGCCCCCAGCAAAGTGGACTTGATAACCAGGCGGGAATCTGCTGCACACGCCATCTGCACGCTCCAAAGTAACACGCGGGACTTCTGCCACTCGGTCGCTTGATTTTCGGACGTGGGTCTTTCGGAGGCGGGAGAGGGGGGGGGGAGGACAGAGGGAGGGCTAGGAGGACAAAATGCGATCAAACACATCTGCGGTGCAATCAACCAAGGACGGAAATCGACAAATCGCGCGGGCACTTAGGCAACCACAAAAAAACGCGCGAGAAACGTGACAGGTGGGACCCCCCTAACAGCTGTTATGCTGCGCCGCGCCAAGAGGGCCCGCCCACCCACCAGGTGTCACGCTCCACGTGTGGCGGAGGGGGAGGAGGCTTGAGGAAGAAAGAGAAAAAGGGGGTGTGGAGAAACGAGGAGCGCAAGTCTGCTTCGAACGAAACATGTTACTCCAAGACTCATCTGACTGCTCATATAGTCCAGACGGCCAACACATCGGGACACCTGGTCAGCTGGAGGAGGAGGGGGCGGGATGCAGGGACGATTTTAAGACTCTGCGCTTCCTTTCGGGGTGGAAACTTCCACGGGGGCGCAGTTTGAAAGTGGTTGGGGGGCCCAGCCAGCAGCTTCGCCTTAGGCGAAGCACAGCCCCAGCTCCTTCGTACCGTAGTAACGATAGTGCCAGTAGTAAAGGGGGGGCCATCTTAAGCAGTAGGAAGGTCCTTTTGGTCTCGATGGCTAATCGCATGCCTCACAATGAGGCGCAGTCATATCTGGGCGGCCGGCCGCTTGAGCCGACGCGGCCGCGGGCGCGCGCTCGCTTCCGCTCCTTGTGTCCCTCAGCTGGCTTTAGAATCGGGGGGGGGGGGGGGGCGAAGCGTGAGTCCGCCGCCCTTATGCAGCAGGCACATCAGCTCATATATACAACAGGCAGCAAAAAGGCGAGCCATAAGGAAGGTGGGCCCGCACGCAAATTGCCTTGCCTGTGCCGTCCTGGTACTGAAAGATGCTCCTCAGGAGGCGACTGCAGAACCTGGTGTCTGGCCGGCCCTATAGGGGGTATGAGTCTTTAGGTCATGTTTGAAGGCCTGTATACCTCCCATGACCTGGGGGAGCATCTCTCTGTCGATGCTCCCCTTAGTGTGGCCGTCCGCAGTCATGTCGCGGGCGTCGCACCGCTGAATACTGTGCACGAGTCCACACTCCATCATCTGTCGTATCCAACTGATGTGTCCTGAAAGGGTAGACTCAGTCGGCTTCTTCAAATCCTTGCTTGACAAGGACTTAAAAACAGACTCAGCATCTATGGTCAACGTGACCTTGATGCTCAGGCCACCCATCTCAAGTCTGTCTTTCAACTGAGTGGGCGTGGGCGGCCCTGCGTGGAGCTCGTACAGTCACAACCGTGGGATAGCAGTCCTCTAAGTTATGGGTTTGCAGCGCGCATCGATCAAGTTGGCGACAGGTTTACCGGATGGCGTGTTTCCACGCCGTAGCAGGTTTGCCCCGCGAATGCCATCGCCTTTGACGTCGTCGTCGGCGTCTCCACTCAGGCGTCGGTATCCTGAGTCGCTGTGCAAGTCAAACTCGCCCGTAGGGGATATCACCTGATGGGCGATCTTCCTGGGGGAGGCCTGTAGCTTCCTGGAGATCGCGTTCAGTCGTCGTGCTTGAATATTGGTCGGTTCTTGGACGCGTTGTAGCGATGCAGCGCGCGCCACCCGCGGTGATTAATGCGCGCGCCGGCGCGCCCCTGAGGCTGACGAACATGTCTGCAACCATCTTGGATGCCTGAGCGTCGGCGTCGGCGCCAGTAAGTTCAGGACGTTGTATAGGACGGAGCTGCATGATGTATTCTTCTTGGTCCAAAGTGACATTGCCGTCCTCATCCTTGGTATATCTCACAGCGCAGTTGGTGCATGTGTGCTTGTTGAATTTATACTTGCCAAATGTGTCTTCTACGCGCTTGACATACTTGCCAATGGTGTCCCCAGTGCCGGCTATCTTGGTATCATCAACATGTTTGGCCGTAGGCAGGTTGCTGCTCGTCTCGAACGCCTCGTCGTAGGGCCTGGGTCGGAGACCAGAACCTCGCGTGGTCCTTCTGGGCTTTCGCGAGAAAGCTCGCGGTGCATCTCTGGTGCTAGTGCCTGGTTTCAAGCACTGCAAGCAATGCTTTGACTCGTCGTAGTGTTCGAATCGTGGGGTGGGTTTTGGGGGGGGGTCCGAAGCGCCGTGGCCGATCCAGGCGGCGAAGTTAAGCGCGCTACGCGTTCTTTTTCACCAGTTGCCTCAGCAAGTTCCTGATAGGTCAACCCTTTCAGGAAAATCATGTTGATGTCGAGGGAAGCAATTGTCTATTTCTTCTTGCGCGCTGCCGTGCTAGCGAGCAGTCTCTGGCTTGGCCGCCGCGCTGTTCCCGAAAAGGTTTCTACGTCGAAGGCGTCGAGGTCCATGGGGCCTCGGAGTACCAGGCGTTATCTGATGGTGCGTTCCATCTCGCCTTTTTCGTTCTTCATAAACTTCCATGTGTACGCGTGCCTCGAAGTCGTGATGTTTGACGCTTTAGATGCGTCTTGCAATTTGAAAGACTTATTGTCAAACCGTGTCTTGAGTTCAGTGTAAAGGGCCTTCGGTACTTTCTCAGTATTCGCCTGGATGTCAGCTTTCGCGAGGAGGTCGTCTCCCTTGACGATCCCAGCTCGCTTTGCAGCGGCGGTGACAGATACTCGCATAGTGGCCGCGCGGTCGGCATCTAATATCATGTGTTGTTGTTCGGACAGGACTACCTTTGACATGTCTGTCGTAAAGCAGAGTTCTACATGCTGTCCATTCTCGTCTGAGTCCAGTCCGTAGCTGCAGTCTTCGACCACGGAACACATTGAGACGTGATGCGTCTCCTCGATGTCGGAGTCGCGTGTGCGTCCCCACTTAGGCAGGTGCCCCCGCGGTTCATCAGCTACAGTGATCAGCGCACTTTGGCCTGGAACCATGTGTGTGGGTATTGTGCAAAAGGTCTTCTGGTGGAGTTGCCTCCAGCAATTCCTTTTTATCTTGTAGTTCTGCATGCCGCACTTTCATGACGTGTGACTCAAGATCGGCCTCCGATTCCTCGTAAACTGTAGAAAGCCGTCCATCCTCATGTGGTGGTTCGGCTTCTGAGGCTTCTCTTGCGGTTCCATCTGGTGTCGGCGAATCCGCCAATTCCTCAAACCTTGTCATGTCCTGGTCAAAACCTGCTTGAGGTTTGGTTGACTTTAGGCACTGGATGATCCTCGGATGTGCTGATCCAGTAATGGCGTATCTGTTATGTGCGGTGCCTTCTGCTTCATAATAGTGAAATCATGGATTCACGTAGTTGCCATAATGGACCAATGTGCAACTGTCAGCATAAGCAACCAGAGGTAGTTTATGTATACTCTTAACTAACCCGACCGAAACTACATTCTCAATGCGGAAGAAGTTTCTGATGAGGTACTGTAAAGCCAAATCTACCTTATGGGATAGACGACTTGCACTCGTCATCTGAAGCGTTCCCTTCTTGGTCGGTACATTGCCAAACTGTCATAGCAGGTCTCCCCGCTGGTGCTGGTAAACTGGCCACGGACGTCAACGCTGTCCGTAGTGCAGTGTTATCGGAACCACTTTCTCGGGCTATCAATGCTTCAATATAGAGTGAATGTCGTGCATCGCCGTACTGTTCCTGGACATCTCGACCGCCCACTCGGATGATGACTTGACCCACTGGGAATGGGCCATTCCAACCTCCCCAGTCGTCCTTCGTGGTTGTGGGGCGATGATAATCGACCAGGTCTCCTTCATCGTAGTAATGCTGACCGGTGACCGTAGTTTTACTGCGTAAGGCACGATTGGTCTTAGCTGCTGCTGTGGCCTGTGTGCTTGCTTCAATGCATGCCTTGCGTATCGTCTGTTCACGGGAATGATCCGGCGCTTCCGTCGGCTGCTCGTGATCCAAGACAGGTAGGTCAGGGGCATTGCTGGTTGCCGTCCAAACAGAGCGTTGCATGGAGACACCTCGTTGTAGAAAGTGAACGCACTGGCGGCAAACAAGGCCTCGTGCAGTGGTCGTGTGAACGCAAGAGGCCTCGTGCAGTTGTCGTGTGAACGCAAGAGAAATGTCCGACCTGTTGAGTTCAGCTTCCATGACATTAAGTAGATGGCGTAACATGCCATTTCTGGCCTCGGTCGTCGTAGC